CTGTGTGGCTCTACTTTCCTTCCCCTACCTTTGTGTTGTCATATACATTACAGCTATATGTCTTACAAACCCAAGAATGCAGTGTTCTACTTACTATTCCTTTGCTTTTTATGTTAAGCTTTTTATGATGGTGAATACACATAAAATGTCAAGTGTGCAGTACAGTGGCAGTGAGCACACTTACAATGGAGTGCAACCATCACCACTATCTGTTTCCACAACGTGCTATCGCCCCACACAATCCATTAAGCCATAGCTCCCCACCACTCTCCCTGCCCTGTCCTGGTGCCGGTAATATCTAACCGGCTTTCTGTCCCTCAAAATGTGCCTATTTTAGACATTTCATATCAGTGAGATCAGACAATATGATCCTTTTTGCATCTGGCTTCTTTCATGTACCATGAGTCTTCCAAGGTTCATCCATATTAGATATGGACTCCAATCTGCTTGATGGATGGATGGCATTCCAATGCATGTATTTATCGCATTTTGTCTATCCATTCATTGGTTGATGTTGCTTTTTGAAACAATGATGGCAATTCAATCGAGCCAGTCTTTGGGGAGTGCGGTGCAAAGTATAAGAGAATTTTCAAAGTGAATCGTGCTCCAAACTAAAGTGGGACAGAGGGAGGGGGGGGGAACCGACTCCATTTCCACAGAGTCAATGCCAATTCCCTGCAAGCCCGTGTGTTACAGAGGAGAACGGTTCCACTGGGTGTTCTGTGGGTCATCTTTATGGGAGCAGGTCACCAGGACTTTCTGCCGTGGCTTCAGGGTGGCTCTCACTGCCAATTCCTGAGTTAGTGATAGGACACAAACCATCTGTGCCCCCCTCCCCCTGCATAGAGCTACAGAACGACTGCTTAAATCTGCAACCAACCAGGCCTCGTGGCACTGTTGTTAAGGCGTGGTAGCAACTACAGAAAGTTGAATGGGCAGAAGTTGTGTGGTAGATATATTTGTAACACTTACTGGGGGAAAAAGTCATTGCTGAGACTGCTTACGTGGAGCCAAGCGCCTCGTGGGGTCTGGTTCCTTGGTTTGGAGGGTTAGGGTCATGGTTTCTTGGGACATCTCAGTTAATTGGCCAAATAAAGTGTTTTGTACTTCCCTCTCTCATTGTGTAGTGCCTGTGGCTTTAAAAACGGCAAGTAGCCAGCTAAGGCACAATTATTGGTCTCCATTCACCTGGAGCAACGGAGGGCACGGGAGGGTCGGGAGTGGGAGGCAGCGATGGAATGCTTGGCTAACTGCCTCCACGAACAGCCGCCGCAATGTCAGGAGGCCAGGAGGACTGGATGGTGCCTGACTCCCTAACTGAACATTCTGATCAATGATTTGATGGCAGAATCCTCATCCAAAGGGGGAGAAATAAGGTACAGACTTTTAAAATCTTGTGGGGCTAACACCTTCTGAAGCCTTGGAGGCTGATTCACCCCTGAAACGACTGCCCTGAGATCACCTTTAAACATAGACCCCCCCCAGAAATACCCTCTGAAATTATCATAAAACCAAACAGCAGTTTAGTTCACTCCCCAGTGAAGGGTGTCTGCCTCGGGAACTGTGCTCTTTGAAAATCTATCTACAGGGTACCAAATTGACAACAGCAACTCAAATGGTTAGATAGGGGGCTCAGGGGACGATGAGTTTATGCTCACAGGGCGGGAAATACAAAAGGAGAATGGCAGTGGTTACCCTCAGTTCAAGCAATATGATGATGGATAAATACAAAAAGTAATATGTAAAATGATGTATAAATATAAAAAGTAATATGTAAAATGATGTGTAAATATAAAAAGTGATGGTTACACACTCAAACTACATAATCAAGGTCACTGAATGTGCACGTAGGAGTTGTGGAATGGATGTGTTTGCTGCTGTGCACAATCCCAACAACAATGGTGAATTGTATATTTGCGTGCAGGTGGGAAAATGGTCTCTGATACCCAGACTTGAGGCATTCTGTTTCCTTGGCTTTCCCTGCACCTGAGTCCAGGTGTTTCTCTGCATCTTTACTCCTCAGGTGTCGTCTGCGCGTTTTGACCGCTGTTCTATATACGTACTGCCATAGGGTCGGTTCTGACTCATAGCGAGCCTGCAGAACTGGGCAGAACTGCCCCTGTGGGCTTCTGAGGCTGCCACTCTTGACAGGGGCAGAAAGTTTCAGCTCTGTCCCTCGGAGCTGGCTGATAATTTCAAACGCCGACCTTGCAATTAGAGGCTGAATGTGTAACCACTAAGCCATCAGGCTCCTGGTTTTCACCCAAGCAAGTGCCAATCCGGTCACATGGAAGGAAAGGTCCTATGAAGGTCAGTATGTGCCACCTCCCTGCCAGAGGGACTCCGGGAGCTAGCTGCATGATATAGTTCATCTTTTCCAGAACAGAAGGAAGGTAATGGCCACTCTCAAAAAAATCACGGGAACGAGAGAGAGAACAGGCATCATTTCCTTCACCCAGACACTCCTGGCATCTGCTCGGCTCGCCTTACCCGGAATGGAGTGTTGATTCGGCTCGTGAGAGTGTCCAATATGTGGACGTTCTCGTGCTGGTGCAAAAGAATGAAGCGCAGGAAGATCTCCAGGAGTGCTGGCTCTGAGACGCTACGCAGGAAAAGATCCAGATACGCAGTGGTGGTCATGACCTCCTCCACCGTCACCTGCGGCCAAAGATGGAACAGAAGGCGCACAGGTGAGCACACCTGTGAGGCTGTGGTCCAGGCCCCCAGTGACTCCCAGCCCCACCAAGGGATGAACAAGCCTGCCCTGAGAACACCCAGCAGAGCTCACTCCCCCTCCCCCGCACCTCACCCGCGTCCCCCTCTGCCCCAGTAACCGCAGGGCAGAGCATCCTGAAGGAGGTCAAACACTTTAGCCACTCGATCCTTTCATGTCAATCATGCAGTGCTATTCAAACACCATAAAGATAGGAGTGTGTAACTTTAAAAGGTAGGTAAGAGGAAGAGAAGCTCACAGAAAGTATTTACATGGTTCACAAAGGATTCATTATTAGGAAGCTCAGTATAACTTGTTCCTTATGAGTGATTCGGTAGACATGTCCTGGGACAGGTCAAATCGAGGAGCTGGAAGCATCGCAATGCATTTTTACCCATCGGTAAGATGGCCTATATATCAGTGATCCCACAAACAAAGTAACAATAAGACAATCAATGCCAGAGGAGAGGGACAGACAGCCAGGGCTGCAGACGTCCAGGCCGGTCATTGGAGAGTTTCAAGTCAAATGCCTATTCTGGAAGAATGCACATACAGGGTGACTATAGAGTGCTATGAAACTTACGAGGAGTCTCTAGGTGATGAAACCGGCTAAGGGCTCCAGGCCTCGCTGTCATGTTGGCGGTTTGAGCCCACCCCAAGGTATCCCAGAAGATGGGCTGAGAGGGCACCGCCTTAAAAACCCTCGAGAGTCCCACGTGCACACACAGCGCCGGAATCAACCCCGAGGCAACCCGCAGCAGCAGCAAGAGCCGACCGCTTCTACAGGAACCCGGACTACTTGCCAACTGAAAGCGGTCTCTTCCCCTGGTATCCTTCGCCTCCTGCAGGCAAATGCCAATCAGGACTGGGCTCTCGCCGGCTCTACCATTGTCAGGAGAGACCAGGCCCTAGAGAAGGACGTCATGCTTGGTAAAGCGGTGACGAAGAGAGAGGACTGCAGGAAGATGGGCTGGCACCGTGGCTGCAGCCACGGGCTCAGACATAAGCACAATTGTGAGGCGGGTGCAGGACGGGGAGGTGTTGCTATCGGTCCAGCTCAGCCCAACGGCACCTCACCACCTCCAGCACAGCCCACACCACGAACAGGCTCACACCGGGATGTGTCAAAACCAACAAGGAAAGCGCTCAGCATTTCGGACTCCAGTGCCACACCCAGAAATCTTAGACCCTCTTGCCATGAGTCTAGTGGCCTGGAGAGGTGGCATGACCAGCATGGCAGAGGTCTGAGGGGCCATCTCTCCCGTCTCACTTTCTCATCTTCCTTGCCCCTCCCCTTTGGGGTGCTGCCTCCGCTGTACGGCGCTGTTATCAAGCTGCTGGTTTGGGGCTCCTATCCTCTCCCCCTTATAATTTTCTGCTTTCAAAATCCACACACGGGGTTAGAACCTCAACCTCCACACCTGCCATGGACATGCCGGCAGGCCTGGGGTGGCCCACATTGACTGCTGACATAAACTCATGTCTTGCTTCTAAGCTGTATTTTGGCTCCAAGAGTCCAAGTGGGAATGATATCATCATCCGTTTAGTATGATTTCTTTATTCTAAATAAGGCATGCCAATTCAGGAATTTGAACCCACTCTTGGGAAACTTCTGAGCCTGTATCCCTGAGTGGCCAGAGCCCAGCTCCAGGATGCAAACGCCCTGCCCTCTCCTACTGTTCGCTGGGGGACCAGGGCGTGAGCCCTCACATCCCAGGCCGTGGCTCCTCTGCAGGGCCCAAATGGACAGAGCTCCCTGTGCCCCCTGCAGAGCACAGAGAAGCAGGTCACCTTCGACTCCTTGGCACACACTCCCTTGAGAAGAGCACTTCTCAAACTGCTCCCGCCCTTGTGTTTGTGTTCTCTAGTGCCACGTGCAGGGCTCCCACCTGGCCCCTTGGGACACGTGCAGTTTCTATCTTTATTACTCCAGTGCAGCGAGCAGACATGCCTCCACCCCCACCCCCACCCAAAGATTCATGTTTGCCAGAGCTGAACGTAACTTTCCAGTCTTCCCCATCCTCTCTGTTTCAAAGGCCCCAAAGAATGGGGGCTTTTTAAAAATTATGATTTAACAAAGTCCTAAAAATAACTGATATCACCAACTATAGCCAGAGGGGGAGCAATTTATAATAACCCCAAGCACGCAGTTCCATCAGCTCACGTCCATTCCATTACCACCATCTCAAGGTCCTTTCTGCAGTAGTGAGTTATTCATTAGCTGCAAACTTCAAGGTCAGCAGTTCCAACCCACCAGTAGCTCCAAAGGAGAAAAAAAGAGGCTTTCTACTCCCATAAAGAGTTAGCGCCTCGGAAATCACAGGGGCTGTCTCACCCTGTGCTGTAGGGTCTCTGTGAGTCAAAATTGGCTCGATGGGAGTGAGTTTGGGTTGTTTGGTTGGTTGTTTATATTTGGTTATCCAAAAGGACTTCAGCCAAGTCTAAGTCCCTAACAATCATGATCACTGAGGAGAAAAAAAAAATTAGTACTGATTCTAAACGGGCTATGGGTGTCGCTTCTGTAAAACAGAGTTTTCAACTTCCTTTCCAAGCACTGCTAACTCAGTGCATCAGGCAGAATTCCTGCAGCTAAGGAATGTAGCATCAGTCCCCAGGCCCGCCCCTGTGCAACACCTGACCTTAATCCTCTCAGAAGCACCAAGACAACCTCTCCAGAATCCAAGTCTTGGCTTTGGGGCCTGAAAGGAAGACATTAAGTATTTCTTGTTTATTACTCTCAGGCTGGGTATATGAAAGAATTCTGCTTCCTTTAGAAATCAAAGCTGTCCTTTATAAAGCTGAGGATTTTAAGAAGGCACTTGGAGGGGCAGCATTTACATAACGTGCTATAAATATTAAAAACCCAGTTCCATCAGACATCAGGTTGCAGACTCTTTATAAATCGAGGTCACACTCACCTTCGACTAATACCCAAACCAGGACAATCTGGTTCTTTCCACTCCCTTTCTCCCCTCTGCCTCTGCATCATCACAGCCCCTGGCAGCCTTTCATCGCAGATCATCTCTTCCTGCCCCATTATCTCACTGCTCAGGAACTGCCTCTAATCTCCTCAAACAGGCAGCCTCCTGAACAAGAATGAGACCAGCGCCTAAGTATGATCACTTGAATCCGGATGATAAACCACCAGAGAAAAAGAATTCCACCTTACAGAATACAAAACAGAGATACCACTTAATAGCCTAGAGAAGTATTAGCAAAATAAGAAAGTAGCTTCCTGTTAGCGGTCTATTATAAAAGTCAATCAACTGTTCATTTTAGTGAAGTCTCTTGTCTTATGGACAATATTTACATTCTTTGGTCTCTAAAGGTACTGCAGGTAGCTAACCATTTCCATAGATAGACTCGTACAAATAGTGAATGGGCCTCTTCTCCCTTACTGACATATCACACACCAAAAAGTTTAAGAATTAAAGTTCACCGGTGTCATGCCAATCACTTCGTGTATGTGTGTGTGTGTGTGTGTGTGTGTGTGTGTGTGTGTGTGTGTGTGAGAGAGAGAGAGAGAGAGAGAGAGAGAGAGAGCGCGCGCAAGCGATGAACAATGCGTACAGAAGACTGAAGGAGAACTGCGGTCTTTGCATTCGGGTGCCAGCTAAGGGTACTGAATTGTCAGATGAACAAGCAATTCTGTCTTGGGGGAAAGACAGCCAGAATACTCCTGGGAAGCAAGGATGCGAGAGAAGTTCTCCGGGAGAACAGTCCTTGGGAGGGAATCCTGTTTGATAAAAGCAGAAGCTCAGCTGGAAAAGAAAAAAAAAAAGAGCCTCAACCCCATGGATTGGCACAGGGGCTACAACAATGGGCTCACCCACAACAATTGTGAGGATGGCAAGACTCGTCAGTATTGGGCTCTATTGTACACAGGGTGCTAGGAGTCAAAGCCAAGCCCCCAGCACCTAACAAGCATCACAACAGCTTGTCGGTGTTGTGTACTACATGTGGACTGCAGTAGCCTGAGAAAAACGTAGCTCCCACGAAGAAAGAATTACCCTGACAAGATACACCACAGCCTCGACCATCGAGAAGATAGCTCCTGCACAGGCTTAGGTGTTACTTCTCGGAAGGGAAGCCTGACTCCGTCGTGTGATTCTCTGTTCTCTCTAGTCCGTCTCAAGGGTCCTTCACAAATGGGTAGTGAAAGGAGGCCCAGCGGTGCTGTATGTTCGGCATTAGACTGATAACTGCAAGGTTAGTGGTTCAAACCTCCCAGATGCTCTCAGGGAGAAAGAGGCTGTCTGTTCCCCTATGGATTTACCGTCTCAGGAACCCTATATGGGGTCACTATGACTCAGAATCGGGTTTAATGGGTAGAGAAATCCATTTGTTGGTTCAATAATAATCTAGACCAGATTCAAATAGAAAACACCAGACTATACTGCAGGAGTCATAGTAAATGTTATTTTGAAACACTTTTGTATATATTTTTGTTCAAATTATTTAAGAATAGATTGCCTTGCTATGTGTTCAACAAAATCATATATTTATAATGGGTGAGGAGCCCTGGTGCTATAGCCAGTTATATACCTTGGGCTGCTAACTGTGAGGTCAGCGATTCAAAGCCAACACTTGTTCCAAAGAAGAAAGATGAGGCTTTTTATTCCCACAAGGAGCTGTCTTAGAAACCCGCAGGGACAATTCTGTTCTGTACTACAGGCATGCTAGGAGTCAGAACTGGCTCAATGGCAGTCAGTTTGGCTTATACATAAGTGTATAAAATAGATTTCTCTGTTTCTGGTCAAAATATTAAAAACATGACATCAGTACTGAGATAAACAAACCAATTTACAATGTTTTCTGCCACCCTTTCTTGTTTTTTTAAATTTTATTGGGGGCTCTTGCAACTCATCACAATCCATACACACATCCATTGTGTCAAGCACATTTGTACATTTGTTGTCCTCACCATTCTCAGAACATTTGCTTT